AGGGGCGGCTTGTTTTACAACGTCGTTGCCAAGCGACGAAAACCCAACCCCGATGGTAAACACCGGGGGGCAGGAGGGGGGGAGGGGGGAGGGGCAATGTACGCGAGAGAAAAAACACTAGAATACCAACCAAAGAAGAACAGCTCCTGTGTGACCACCTCTGATGCCGTGGGGGTCCCTCAATACTGCGGGCTGAATAATGCCACCAGTGAAATCGCGTGACACGGATGGAAAATACAATATTCAAGTTGTTGTGTCATTCCCTGAATAGATACACAGTACCGTGTATGACACAAGATAACACACCCCCTGGACCGATTTTCAAAGCTCGATTACGCCACGACGAAGAGGATGCATAAACGAAATGAAACATTTTCGAAAAGCTCTCGACGAGACCGTTTCAACGCCGCCGTTTTCGGCGCTGTGATTGTTCCTGCAGTTGAGAAATCGAGCTTCGAAAATCGGTCAAGGGGGTGTGTTATCTTGTGTCATATACGGTAGGCTCGGGGCCCGGTGTAGTGCCGGTGAAGCTGGCGGGCACCTAGCGGCACCTAGCGGCACCAATGAAGGACCCCTACTGTTGCACTTGATAAACGAACAGATGGGACCAACAAACAGACACACGCGCGCTGAGGCTGACGTCTTTTCATTGGTCAGCCGGTTTCGCGCGGTCGATCCTAGAAAAAAAGACACACACACACACTTGCGCATTTTGGCCATCTTCGAGGGATGTTAATTATACTCGCTGGCACTGCCGTCTGTTCATCGGTTAGACGATTAGGGCGGTCGATGCTAAGTATGGAAACACACACACACACACACACACACACTCACACACACACGTTTGTTTGTCTTGCATGCATTCCTATTGTGTTGTGGTATTCATGTATGGTACGGCAGGTGGACCTCGACAACGATGTGGTTGAGATGGGTGGTGAGGAGGCGGCGACGATGCCTCGCCTGCCGCAGAAGCGAAGGTCGAAGCTGCTCGCCAAGCTGGCAGAACACGCGCAGCTCGGTCACTGCAGAACTCCCGGTGCGCATGCTGTTGCCGTGGTGGTTGTAGGGGTTGCTGCTGCTGCTGTTGGCGTTGTTGCTGTATGCCGTTGTTGTCGTTGTTGTCGTTGTTGTCGTTGCTGTCGTTGTTGTCGTTGCTGTCGTTGCTGTCGTTGCTGTCGTTGCTGTCGTTGTTGTCGTTGCTGTCGTTGCTGTCGTTGCTGTCGTTGTTGTCGTTGTTGTCGTTGCTGTCGTTGCTGTCGTTGCTGTCGTTGTTGTCGTTGTTGTTGATTTCTACTGGTGTTGTGGGGTCATCGCGAACGCACAGCAGTGCAGCCCTTTGTGCCAAGCAGCGGACAACCTTCGCATGGCCGTGTGTAGCAGTAGCATCCCCTCCCGTCCCATCCCATCCCATCCCTCCCCGTCGTTGGATTCGAAGGACGTTGAGATTGCTCACGTCATTGTGACCATGGAAGGCTTCGCGTCAGTTGAACCAGTACGGATATCATAAGCTTTTGAGCGGAGACCGGAACGGTTTGTTCGTGTTGAGACAACAACAACAACATACAGGGGGACGAAGAAACGAAGCCCCTTGTCTGTCCACTTTTTCTTTTTCGACAGTACACCAAGATGCCGCGCCTTGCGGACGAGCTCTCTCTCTCTCTCTCTCTCTCTCTCTCTCACGCTGCCTACCCCCCCCA